ATAAATATGACATCTGAGGGAAAATTCGCACCGGAGCGTGTGACAGCAGAAAGAAGAGGACCGTGAATAGGTGGCACGGAGATCGCCTGTTTATTTCTGTTTGCATTTAGGTACAGTGTGTTATCAAGGAGGAATGCCGGACTATAGCGCATTATGTCACAATTATGCGTGTACATTGTGTGTGCGCAGATGATATTTCCCCCTCTCTGCGGCCCTTATCGTGGCGCTTTGATACAGAAGCCCTAATGACTAAGCCAGACTAGCAGGATTAACACATGATGCATAATAACAGTCTTGTGTTCATCACTTCTGAACAAGGTTTGGAGAACAATTACCAGCAATTAAACCACCGCCAGTTATTCAAAGAGATAATTATGTCCTTGGTGTATTGCATCAATTAGCTACTTTTATTTCAGCCCGCAAACTCTCCGCTACGTCGTATGTGACATGTTTGGAGAGGCTTGAACAACAGGAATTCCTGCACTTATCCTCTATAAGTAGAGTGAAATGTGAGCAGAGAGAAAGTGAAAAGTATCCTCTCATCTATGAAAGGATTTTGTTGTTCTGCCATTTTTGCTAATAATGACGTGGTCCAAGGAGAAATCTCTCTGAAGTGACAATTTGGATTTGACATCTCAACCGAATCCTTCACAATTGTGAGTTCTCGAAAAACAGAAGATTAAAACCAAACAATCCCGGAAATAAGTGTTGAGGATGATTTTCTTGAGCTGCCAAACGGCTTTTCGTAAACGTGCATATTGAATTCAGTCTCCGCATACTGTAATAGCGTTTCAGGAGAGGCCTGTCGGGGACGTTTTCTAATGCCGAGACCTTATTCCATGGGTCTAGGTCTACATTTTTTCCCTTTCTTTCCGAGGGAGATTGAGGCTCTAAGAGCTCAGCTGAAATTCAGATGTGCCCTTGAAGAGATATGGCTTTGTGCTTTTTGATGACCTCAATACAATTCTGACTCAATCCATTCAGACAAAGATTTGACCTTAACAAATTGTGCCGTGACTACAATGAGTTGAATTTAAAAGAGCTTATGCTTGAAAGGGCTCTCGATAATGTGTAAGTGTTCTTCAGAAACAGCAAAAACATGCTAATGCAAATATTCGCAGACACATTTTTGAAAGCACAAAACACTATGCTAAATGAATATGTTTGTTTTAGGAAAACACAAAGGCGTTTGAACAAGAAGCAGCGGACGATTTTCTTGAATTGTGAGCTGTCTTTTACCTTTTTTTGAGCCTCAAGGGTATAATGGCTAACTCCAAATACCTGTGTCCAATTGTAAGTAATCTATTAAACCACAGAGCCCACAGCTTATTTCCCCTCTGCTTCACATCCTCCATTTAATGTGATAGCTACAACAAAAGCAGGAACACCTTTCACCTCCTGTTCTTTACTAGCGTCTTTTATCGCTGTTCATCCTCTCTCCTGCTTTCTCTCACTCTCACACACACACACACTCATATCCATATTTGTGCTTGTTACCTATACAGAATTAACTGCTGTCATTCGAAGCACTTCCAGACCGACCAAGTCTGAGATGGGAAAGTGTGTTTAACTCACTTAGTATCACATATCAGTACTAATGTTGAGATTATAGAGGTTAAGGATTTAGGCCCCTGCCACGTGTAGAGTCAGTTTATTGCTGAGCGTTTGAATGTGTGCCTTCTCGGTCCCCCATTTCCTGAAGTTCCAGGGGCCGGTCAGAGGCAGCGATGCGTTGGCCGTCAGCCCTCCATTCACTCCTCAATGGGCAGGCTCTGACATGCTGTCACCTTGGCAACTGCTGCCAGGGTAATGTGCCTGGCGGGCTAACTGACCTCAGCTGGCAGTGTGCCACGGGCTTGCAGCAGGTGTGGGACAGTGAAGGTCCCATGGCCACTAATTCAGCCATCCTGTATGAGGCTCGGACCACATCTATTGCCTGAAGGACTGAAGGGAATTGCGAGAAAAGCAAATGCTATGCTGTGTAGTGAGACATATTAGGTGTCCGGCCAGTCTGCACGGAACAAAAAAAGCAGATTTTAAGAAATTATAAATAAATACATCACTATAAACATTTTAATTTGGCTATCTCTCTGTCTCTAATCCCAAGATTGAGCACTAGGCAAGCAGTTTAATATCTTTAAAAGAAGCATTTAAAGGTTTATCGGTAGCCTTTGCACCATTTTTTTGCAACCAATTTTATCATTTTATTTTATTGCATCTTATGTTTATGTAAACAAATACATTTCACACATAAAAAGATAGAAATGTTAATTCAAACGTTTTCAAAAAACAGTACCAGCACGTTTTTTGTAATTATAATTAATGCTGTTTTTAAATATTCATTCAGTATTGTTTTATCGATAAAAAAAAAAAAAAAAAAAAAAAAAAAAAAGGTTTGATTCGGGAGGGAATTCCAAAAGATGGCGCTAAAGAAATATGAGAGAGTATGATTTATTTTTTATGGTCCATAAACATCCACAATTTTGGTAAAATTAACATTTATAGAAAGTATTTAAAAGAGCAGTGTGAAAAAAAAAAACGATTCAACATTTAAATTCGAATCTTTCAGTTACACATATTTGGCACCTCAAGAGATATTATATTATATTATGCATAAAAAAGCATTAGGCTATGCGTATGATCCCCACATAGAACAGAGGTATCAAAAATGGCAGCCCATTCTCACCCCCAAATAAAAATAATAGAAAATAATAATTTTGCGTGCTAGAGTTATGTGTTTTGAGTTATGTGTTACAGGTTTTTTTTGTTTTGTTTTGTTTGATTGATTTTTTTTTTTTTTTTTTTTTTTTGCTTTAGCCTATAGTTTCTTTTTGTTAATCTACAGTAGAGGTATCATTGAGTTTTATATTATGCAATCCAGGGTAAACCTATAAGAAGAAGAAATCATATTTTATCACATTAATCAGAATCATCAGTTATATATACTCTTTGAGCGTGGACAGCTATTTTCATTACACAGGCTGTACTTCTTTTGAAGGTTGCCATTTTTCAGTCAATGTAATTGATTTTTACTTTGCAATCGCTGAAAATATACTTTTACAAAAAATCTTCATTTTCGATCATATTGCATTTTGTGCAAAGTAAAGCTAAAAATTAAAACTAGAAAATAGTAATATAATCAAAGTCTTATTTTATCCAGTAAAAGTGCATTTTAGACATCATTTTAGACAGCAACTGCAAGCTTCACAACTCAGTTATTCTGGGTGTGAGCGGTGCTATTAACATTGGCTATATTGCATGAAGGGTGGGGCGCGTGCTTATAACCACAGGTTGAATTTCGTTGCCATGCAACGGATGTACGGTAAATCATCCGCGAAATTTAAATCATCAATAGAAGGGCCGTGTGCTTAGCTGAATAGTCACTACCACACAAAAGTTCTTCAGAAAAAAAAAAAAAATCAGCTGCACTCTCAAGTCTCAACAGAAGCGTCGTTCAGCAGGAAGGTTGGTGTTGCGCCTTAAGAGTGTAAAGCTATTTAAAATGAATACAAATAGGAGAAATTGTCAAACCTGTCTTGATGAAAATTAAGGGCCAACGGTTGTGCTATTCCCCAGTAGTAACGGTCGGTTTTCAGAAAAAAAAAAGCAATTCAGTCACACAATCGTTTTTGCACGCTTTTACATTGCAATCTGATGGAAGGATCTAGGCCCTTTTGCACTCAGAGAGCTACGTGGCAAGCATACGAATTTCCATGCATACAAATGCACTACTGCTTTAGAGCGTGCACGGAATGGATTCCAAATTACGTCACTCGCTGAGCGGGACGCTCGCTTTTTCAAATTTAAATTTGAAGAAAAAAGAGGAATTTTACGAAACGGCCGTTATCATAATAAAGCCAAATAAATCAACTGTTTGCTGAAGGCACGCCAATTTAATATGATCTAGCCTAGGCCTATTTTAATTAGCCATAGGCTACATGCAATTCTGCTGTTTGTTTCCTACTAAGATATTGCAGTTGTTTTGTTGAGTTCATCCAGTTAGGCTATTTACTGAAATGACTTGGACTAAATAATAAAATAATGTTTGCATAAAATACTACAAAGAAAGCGGTAATTAGGTTGTCCATTAAGGCAAATATCACGTCGCTGCTGATAATATTTATGTGTCGAATATTTGTTTTAAAACGAGAAAGAAGAGAAAAAGAAACTTCCAAAGCATTCTAGTGGGACGTAATGCATGTCAAGCAAAATATGGAAATTATTACCCTGATTTAATGAGGACGAGAGATGAAGCGTATTCTGAATACATTTCCATGTCCCTTTGATGCTATCAGGATTATCAGGACATTTCGGTGTTTTTGGAACCAATAAGACCTCTGACTGTTTTGATCATTTATATTCAGTTGAGAAGAAAATAATCTAAATCAGCATGGCTATAGTGGGTGTCAGCTAATGCATAGCCTGGTGAAATACGAAAATAGGCTACTAGCCTATTTGGAGTCACAGAAAATCTGTAAGTCATTGACGGGGGAAAAAAAGTTTTATAATCAAATATAAAATGTATTAGCCTACATTATTTGTTTTTGGAACGATGACGTGAAGCTTATCTTTCTTAAACGCCGTTAATAGCCTATAGATAAATAGACAATAGTTAAGATTATTTCTTAAAAAAAATAAATAAATAAATAAAACATGTAGGCTAAAAAAAAAAACAGGCTAACAGAAAGGAAAATAAGACAACAATATGACACTGCGAAGTGAAAACATTTTAAAAGTTCTTCGACTCCCTTTTTAGGCCAAGGGTCAGGTTATTGAGAAACTCTTCAAAATTCCCTTTGTACAAAAAAAATTCTCAGTAAATCAAATCAAACAAATATCAGAAATGAGTTTTCATTTAGAATTTAGTTTTAATATTTAAGCAAACTTTAAGAAAGAAAGAAAGAAAGAAAGAAAGAAAGAAAGAAAGAAAGAAAGAAAGAAAGAAAGAAAGAAAGAAAGAAAGAAAGAAAGAAAAAGAAAGTAAGTTGCACCGATGCATATGAAAGCTATATCAGATTTATTGTTCTCATTCACTTCTCGCTGAGTCAGTACTGAACTTAAATAACAACCACGGGGGAAACGGTTTGACAACGGTTTGTTTCAGCTTCGTCAATGCGTTTGTGTACAATATCTGTATATAATAACAAGTGTAATAGTAACAGTATAAAATATAATCAATATTTAAAATGGCAGGGGGAAGGCCTACAAGAGATGCTACTAGGTTGAAAGTCATCACAGCGCGCAACAAATCTGTAATTGCTCCTGAAAATATTTGAAATTGATTTAGTGAAAAATATAAAGCAAATCATTTAAACCAACACATTAATTTTTCATATTGGCAAATTTACACAGACTTGTTATCAAATCCCCACCAAAAAAAACTCTGCCTGCGAAAAAGCAGTGAAGAGAGGGCAATATCCACGATGATTCAGCCAAACAACAACAAAAAGTGTTTAACAAGGGGTCGGCTGAAATTGGAAAATAAGTGCAGCTTGAGAGTAATCAATCTTTTTTTTTTCTTTTTTTTTTCTTAAGAGCTTTCTCTGTGTAAAAGCTATTCACAGAAGTGTAGTCCACAAAAATACTATGAATTATAAAAGGTGTAGTTTGTTGCACATAATGCTCCAAGAGAGTAGACAAGACAATTCCGTTTTGTTAAAATGAGTAATATAATTCCTGTGCGTAAAATTGATACGTGTCCTGGGGTAAATTCTTCCGCTGTTTAATATTTAATGTTCGTCTGCATTGATCCATGTCCTTGGGAGTTCTTTTGTGATTTCAATCCATAAAGTCTATGTTGGCTTTGGGCTGGTTATGATTTCGGTGTCAGTGCACCAGAATCTCCTGGCCATAGGAGCTCGTAGTTGTCACGCTGTTGTGGTTGCTGTCTGGTTCATCTTTCAAACTTGCACCTTTTAAGTAATCTACCACAAAACTCCCCTGAAACACAGAGCAAACAGTCATTTAACGTTAGGGACATTGGAGGATTAAAAAAACCCGAAAAGCTTTTAAAGATTTCAGTTTTGGGTTATCTCGTAATATACATATAATATTTGTGATATCTTGCTGACTTGAACAGTACATAAAAAAAAATATGATTCGTTCTACGTCTCAGTGAACATACGTTTGCAGTCCATGGACGGAGGCGGTGTGTCTGCACTCACGTTGCCGGCATGGGTGTACACGTCCTCGGGCGTCTGAGGAACTCCGGGCGGTGTCATCCTCTTCTCCTTCTGCCTTCGGTTGCAGAACCAGACCCGAACCACCTCCTTTTCCAACTGGAGGTTGTCCGCCAGAGAGGTAATCTCCTGCGCTGCCGGTTTTGGGCATTTCAGAAAATGGCTTTCCAAGGCTCCCTTCACGCTCACTTCGATGGAGGTGCGCTTCTTTCGTTTCCTGCCTTGAGCTGCTATTTTATCGATGCTGGTGGGACTACCGGTGGTCGAGTCGGCCTCTTCCAGCCACTTGTTCAGCAGCGGCTTGAGTTTGCACATGTTTTTAAAGCTCAGCTGGAGAGCCTCGAACCGGCAAATGGTGGTCTGAGAGAAAACATTTCCGTAAAGAGTTCCCAGGGCTAACCCAACGTCGGCTTGAGTAAAACCCAGTTTGATCCGACGCTGCTTAAACTGTTTGGCAAACTGCTCCAGGTCGTCGGAGGTCGGCGTGTCCTCGTCTGAGTGCGAATCGTGGCTGTTCACTCCGGCGTGGTGGTGCTGGTGGTGGTGGTGGTGAGGGTGCTGCTGTTGATGATGATGATGGTGATGATGGTGATCCATTTCTGGAGAGTCTCCTCGCATCAGCCCAGGGTGGACTAAACTCCCAGGAGGGTTCAACATCCCGTTGACTGTGAAACCACCGGGTTGGGAATAAATGAGAGACTGCTGGGATTGCTGCTGTCCTCCGGTGATGGTGGGGATGTGTGAGGCTGTGGTGCCACCCCATGCGCTTTGGTGCGACTGGTGAGCCCCTAAATGCGAGGGTCTGTGGTGCAACGCGGTGCCCGAGTGCAGGTCTTCCCTGTTTGAACTGCTCTTCACATCTTGTTGCTGTGGGCTACCGGCCATGCCAACTGGACTGGAGGACCAAGGCGAGCCCGCTTCTGCTGCTGCGGCGGCTGCGGCAGCGGCGGCTGCGGCAGCGGCATGGGGCAGTGAGGTAACCCACTGATGGGCATGGCTCAGCATGTGCCCCCCGTTACTGGCCGACATGGCTCCTTGCATGAAGTCGCTCTGCACCATCTTGACCGCGGGGTCTCCTCTGTACCCTCCCGACACCGATGTTACGACACCACTTCCCGGCTGCATGCCACCACCTCCGGACTCCGAGTGCACGATTGAGGCTGATGAGAGAATGCTATTGCTGGCCAGGTAAGGATTGGAAGCCGCTGTGGCCATCCCCCCTCACCACTTTGAACAATTCTACTTATTATCCCCCCCTCCCCGTATTGTAACCGTAACTTTTTTCCAAGCCTCGAAGGCACGCACTATTTCATGAATTATTCAAGCTGGAAAAATATGCGTGGTATTTTGATTTGGTCCACCGACAACACAGCAAAAGATGGCAAAGAATATATCCGTCAAAAACTCCTTTTATCGTAAGCAAAAGGAGAAAGAAATACCTTCAGCGTAGAAATCCACATTATGCATGGAAGTTGCTTTTACGTTTGAATTCCATTGTTAATTTCATTGTCTTAAAGACCAATAATAAGAACAAAAAAAGTGTTGCTTCTTGCTTCTTCTTCTTTTCTTTTTCTTCTTCACATCAACTTCACGTGGTGATTACAAAAATCCCACACCGAACTTCATCGCGCGCTCTCTCTTGACTTTTATGTGGAGGCTTATCAGAAGACGCTCGCTTGAAAACTTCTCTCTGGTCCTCAGTCCTTTCTTACAGAGTCTTGCTACTCATATTTCTTCCTTTCACAGAGTCCATCTGACGTTAATCTTCAATGCATTCCACTGGACACAACTCTATCAAATACACGCGCGAGGGAGACTTTCACTGTCCTCGCTCGCTCCGTTCCTCTCTCTGAGCGCGAGTGCACGCGAATGTTTACGTTCAGCCCCCGCGTGCGCACACCATCCACATCCTTCACCCAATTACCGCGAGGAAGTTTTTGCGAGATTGATGCTCATTGGATATCCTTCGGGAGAGTGACAGATCTTAGGGCACAGCTAAGAAATCACGTTAAGGCGTTGCAATTTGCTATGTCTAATTTGGATATGTCAACATACGAATAAAAGTGACTAGACCTTGTCCCTGAACAGGAAGCTTAGTTTATATAAATCTATTGCAGTTTACGGCATCATTTGCTTAGATTAACGATGCTTTAGATGTTTTGTTTTGCTTTCCCCCCTTTTTTTCCAGAGGAAATTGTTTGGCTTGAATTCGCTTCAGCGTTTGTTTTATTTTACTGATGTCGGTCTTTTGTCCGCAACAGGCGGACTGAAATTAAACAGATTAATTTTGAAATTAAACTGATGATGATAATGAATTTTTGTCTAATTTTTTTTTTACCAATGGGCAAGTAACAAACAAACATGGAAATCACAATAGATGGGTTACAGATAAAGCAAAGCAAATAACAGGCATATATATATACAACATTAAGCATTTCAGCATTGGCTTAGGGGTACAAAATGAACAGAGCATATATTGTATTTGTATTCAGAAAATATATGTGACTGATAACTTCACGGATAACACTATAGCCTATTCAGATTAAACGAGCCGTTTCAAGCACCAGCACTGTAAACTTTTAAACTGATGTAGCTATTCATTACATTTAGTAACATCTATTAGGCTATAACCTAATGAGGCAAAATAAATAAAACATTAAAATACAAAAACAATGCACAAATAAACAAAATCGCATAGCCAATAAACATAAAATATATCATATTGTTTTATTTGTTTAAATTATAACTTTGCTAGGCTTCATTACTTTCACCTAACTTGAAATGGATATCAGAACTTTCCAGAAAAAAATAAATAAAAAAAATCAGGTGAATATAAAAAACACACCGTATTAATCCCTGGGTGGTGATTTATTGTTGTTTGTTTATTTGAGGATTGATCCACCCCTGGTATAGCCTGCCTATATAGGCTAACCTATTGAAATGGGTCGAGGACAGCGACACTCGTGCACTGCGAGCGATGAACAGTTAGTGCTGATTTTCATTTGCATAAATTTTCATATGTTTAAGTGAAAATAATAGCGGAGCGGAGGAGAGCGGGATTCACTCGAGACGGAGGAAGAGAGAGAGGGAGCTGCGCTGGATTCATTCCTGCGGTAAGAAATCTACCTCTCCCTCTCTTTCTCACTGTCTCTGCCTTAATGTTTTTGTTTTAATTTTGAATTTAAAATCCGTGTTGTATTGCACGTTTGTAAAAATCGGCAGCAAAATGCATATCTATGTGGATCTTGTTATTCAGTGAGGGCCTTGCGCTTACTTTGATAGCCTAAAGAATCTTAAAACAATCACATTATTTATACTAAATTAAATGCGTAATTGCGAGGGCCAACACATGCGCTAAATGAATCATAGCAGGGATGCAGGGAGTTTAATGACATCAACTTCTTGACAATTTCATTAAGCTTCTTAAGCAAAGACTTCTTAGACTTTATAAATATGGACTTATACGGTAGGCTACTTATATGTTTTATGTTCCAAAGATATGGCGAATTAGTTATTAAAATGTAATTAATAGAGTTTTTTTTTTCTTTGCAAATCTGTAATTTGAAAACAAATACGTTGTTTGAGTGTTTTAAGACACAGCACAGTCAAATGCGTTTATAAGTCTTTAAACAATAACATTGAGTGTTAAAAGATTGTTTAGTCGATGAGTTGCAATTACAATTGTTTCCATCGCTTGTTTTAAAGTAGTTTCTTAAAACGTTAAATAAGGTTGATCAATCAAAAAGCCATGTGAAGTGTCAGTGAGATATTTGCCGGAACAGTATTTTGAATTAATTTGCAAAGACAAACATGACCCTCCCTGTAACAGGTCATGCAATAAGTTTATAACGGGAAATATATAGTCTATCAGCTGGCACACAGATGATCCATCAATCACTTTCCTAAGTCATGCTAAACAATGACCCAGTGTGCCATTTGTAAATTTAGATACTTTATTTCTTGTTACGCTTTCTTTTTGCGCACTAATTGATTCCTGTTATAGAAAGGTTGTTTTACTTGGGGTTAAAGTCGTGTTTTGCATGAAAGTAGCCATAGTAGACGCCTTTACACCGCCTGTTGGTATTTAACAATTTAAAATAAATCACATATTTTATGTTTTTAATAAAAAAAAAAATCACATTTTGATTAGGTCAAAAGGAGTAACAAGAAAACCTCTTAATATTCAATATACAAAAAAAGTACAAGTAATATCTTTAATTGGTGGTTGTGCCATTGGACATTTAGAGACATTCAATAGGTTTTTTGTTAGAAAAGTTTTACATTTCAAATAAGTTCAAGTTGAAGAGCTTTGCAGTTACCATTTCTATCCTCTCTAACTTTATTTGTCATTGACACACATAGACTACAAACATATTTTCTAAATTGAATAGGCATTTGTAATTTGGTATGACAATAAGCATGAATTAGGTACACTATGCCTGCTGTTATATGCTCTTTCATACAAAAAACATGAAAAATCTGTCACCAAGTTAGAAAAGTGTAAGGGACCTAATGGGACCTAATGGGAAATGATAAAGCAAAGTTGAACTGACGGGATATCTACAATTATAAGGTAACTGTGTATCGTAAACCGTCCCTTTCAGTCGGAAACGTCAAATTTCGTAAACCGCTTTTCAGGAAATGGGGAAAAATCAACATACTATTTAAAAAAAAAATGGTTAAACACTGTGTTGTCAAATATGATAGTCTATTGTGACTTTATACTGTATATATTTGGCTTTAGTCAAAATTCAAATTGAGTTTTTGACCAGTGAATGTCAGACATAGCCAACGTGTTTTGTCCTCCATTAGAACTGCTGTACCTAAGCCAGTAAGTGCATTTTGTAAGTGCATTTCAAATACACAAAACATTAGCCTTTATAGAGAAGAAGAAAATGTTGCACTTAATAAAACAATCAGTTCATTATTTACCCTTGCATTGCAAACACTGTTGTCCAAACTGCATGGCACACTTATATTCAGGATAGAGGCCTGGTAATGAGGTTTGACTGCCCAATATTTAAAAATGTGTTAATTTAGTAATCTTGTTTTTCCAATAGAGTGAAATAATAACCCCCCCCCCCCCCACCCCCCCTTCCTGTAGGCCTGTGCCTTGAATGTCCATGCATAAATCTGGCCCTGCCTACCCCTAAACCTACCAACCAAAGAAAACTTTCTGCAGTTTTACATTTGCAAAAAAACCAACCCGGTCTCATCCCAAATCGTCATATAACTGACGTTTTGGGACGTCTTTTGACCATACGTCAATATTCGCCTTTTTAGGGCCCCCTTAAACGTCGGTAGATGAGGTTATGGGATCCTAACTCTACCCCATACCTAAACTTAACCCTAAACCTAACCCGTCACCTAACTGACGTTAAAGGTAAAGCGTCAGTTGTATGACGGCCCGGGATCGCCATCTACCGACGTTTAAGGGGGCCCTAAAAAGGCGGATATTGACGTATGGTCAAAATACGTCCCAAAACGTCAGTTATATGACGATTTGGGATGAGACTGTGTTAAAAAAACACCAGTTATATGATTTATAAGCTGTTTATAAACACACACAGGCACACACACACACCTATTTCCCCCAGTCCCTGTATTACATTAATCAAAGCACATATTTCCCAAGGGAATCCACACATGGATCACAGTAAATCCTAGTGAAATTGAATCACATCACAGAGTCCTAACTCAGCGGCCCGGCCGTTATTTTCCATACATATTTTTGAGTGATTTCTTGTAAGAGAATACATGAGAAATATTTACACCTATTGACATTCACTACTGTATAAGCTGCTATAAATGGGCTTCCTCACTAAAACAAGGCTTTTGATGGCATCGCCAACCAGCCTCATGTCTCCCTTGAAAACAGCAACTAAATTTCTCCCCTAGTGAATTTGCCGCTTCAATTTTTGTCGAGTTGCGTGATTAGGAATGCTAAACATTTTCAGATGCCTTATTTATGACATCACAGCGATGTCATTAACGTTTTCCAGCTCTACGTTCAGTCTGAGGAAAGTTTCAAATGTGCTGGCTGTGCTTTCTTCTGCAAGTGACTGCAATTCAAATCTCTTTTCCCCCTGCAGGTAAGAGCAAGTCCCTCTGATAAACACAAGACACACAAGGCCTTCTTTCAGTGAAAGCTCCTTTACAGGGGCGGGATGGCTAGGATTATCTTTCCTCCTGTCCTCTTCTCTCTTGTGAGCGTGACATCTCAGCTAGGTAGGTTTCCTAGCAATGCACAGAAAACATGTCACACTCTAGTTTTGGACAGATGTTTGCATTATTGACCACAAATGGACAGACAAAAGGCTCATTGAGAGATTTGAATAATTTCCATCTAAAGAACACTACAACACCCCTGAAGGGCTCTAGCAAAGGTGCCATTCAGCAAGGTTTTCTGTCAGTAAAGCTCAAAGCAGCTGGAGCAAAAATCACAGAATTGTCCTCTCCTCCTTTATTTCTCGCGAGCGGCATTTGCATTTTACTCAGCTTAGCAAAAGAAATAGCCTGCAGCGAGAAAACTCTATCCACTATGCATACAAGAAAGAAGGAGAGGGAGAACGAGAGAATAAAAGACGTGAAAAAGAACACAGACAGGCTGACTGAAAGGAAATGAGAGATAATCTCAAAGCTACTGTCCATTTCCTACATAGTCACAAGCCATCATCCGTAATGGGAAAAATGCATCAGCATGCGCCGCTAGACGAAGTGCAATCCGCGTGTTCTTTTGTCACCTAACCATGGATAGCTTCACTCTAAGATAGTCTTAAATAGTCTTTTGATGGTATCTCGAGACCAATTTACAGATCTCCGGCATTATTACAGTAGAGCAGATGCATTACGCGGGCCTG